CAGGGACGAGCACAAGCACATCCCAGCAGTCACACAGAAAAAGCAGCAGAAGCACCTCTCCTCTTCCTCAGCTTGCAACTAACCCTTGTCCCTCTGTAGACTCAAACTGACTCAATTCCAGAGTCCTGGAAAACAATGCATTCCAGCCCTCCACTGAGACTGGGCAGGAGACTATCAATAGAAGTGGAAGAGCACACACTGAGATACTTTCCCATCAGAAGCCAACAGCTGCACAGGAGAACAAGCATGGCTCAGACTCCAGAGTTTCTTGTACCTGAGACTCTTCCCCTGCTTAAAATCCACAGACCCAGAGGGCACACAGCATGTCAGCTCAAAACTGAACACAAAACTCGGGTCTCAGCTGCTCTACCTGCCCAGGGTCCACACCTGCTTTGCAATTCTCCAGACAGAACATCACAAGCTCTCCCTGAACTGACACTGAGCATGTCTCACACAGGGAGAAAGCAGCACCTTCCCAGAGCTGCTGAAATACACAGCGTCATCTTGACCTGACCAAAACAGCTCAGTTCTTCAAGACAACTCTATGTTCCACTGCAGAGAATAATTTTCTAGCTGAAATATCAAAAAGACAGTGAAGCAGAATTAGGAATGGTAAATTAAGAATTGTAGCTTTCAATTGCTTCATATTTAAGATGCCTATCCAACACAGAAAAATTAAAACCTCTAGTCAGCAACTCTGTGGGCTTAGTATCAATTCAACTTGCACTTTCATTACAATTAACATTTCATATTTTCTATATTTCTAAAGCACTGAATGCTATCCTTACATGTATTTTAAGATCCAGACTAAATATCTGAAATTTGTAAGAAAATTTCCAGTACTCTGCACAACTCACTATTTCATAAACCCTTGTTAAGAAGTGAGATGAGAGAAAAACACATTACCCTCCAGACAAATAGATGCAGCACCATGCAATTGTGCCAGTGCAGATCATTTATGACACCAGAGTTTAACATTCATTCATCACTCCTGATTAAAGTCTATTTAACAATCCTCTACAAGAGAATAATGACAACACTGATGTGATCCTGTGATGTGGCTTTATGTTCTTTCTACTCTCACATGTTGCTATGGGCCATCTGTGGCAAAATACAGCATTGTATCGTCATCAAAAACCAGCCTTTTTTGTTTCAACATAACTACTATATAAACAGTTTCCTTGACTCTGGAAAGAATGTTCATTGTTGAGTCTTAACACACAAATCAGAACTAAGCTGTCTTCAAATTAATATTCTCCAACTCATTAATGAATATATAGGCAGTGAAGAACAAAGGATGGCCAATCCAATCTCATGCTCTTTCAAAACACACTCTCTTAAATCACACTGAGCTTATACCCTGGTAAGCAGAAGGAGTTGGGGTTGCATTTATAATCCACAGAACCTCCCAATTTCCTTACATGGCAGAGGTTACTATCGCTGCTATCAAGACTCTGGAATGACCTTAGTCTTATCAATAGATCTATTTCTCAGAAGCTGCTTTGTAGCAGTTGATTACCATATAGATTTACAGGTTTAAACACTAGCATGTCTAGATATAGTCCACTCAGGCCCATCAGGTTATCATCAGATGGCCTCTTGTGAGAACCCCGGGTTTGGTTTGGGGTCTCGTGTGGTGGTAAAGTCTCTCCTCCAAGCTGTGCTTCCAAAGAAAAACTCCGCAGCCTCTTGTCTCAAGGCAGTTTATTGTGAGTTATCAAAAGGATTTTCTTCTCGGGCTGCGGCTGCTTGGTCAGCAGCCCAGGCAGACACACACACACCCTGACATCCTCCCTGTCTGTGTCTTCTTCTCTCTCCCCACCCAGGGCTGCTGCTATCTTTTATATGATATATTACGTATTACATGTTTACAGTTTTTCCCCAATACCTACTACCTATGTTACAAGGTGCTTTTCTACTCTAGACCGATCTGTGAGTGCCAACATCACCAAGAACATGGAGGCAAGGAAGAAGAAGGAAGAAGAACAGGATCAGCCCACTTTCCTCCATCTTAGAACTTCTGACCCCCATGTACAAAGTAAAAACCCCCTCATACAGGTGCTAAAACCCCCCTGTACAATACTAAAAAAATCTCCCTCTACTTTGTAACTACTTTTACTACACTATCTAACCCTTTGTGACTGCTTGTTCCACCTCCAAAGTTGGTAACTCATTCCATGGCTCAAACTCAAAATCACAGCTGTTTCCAGCTGCCTGCCGGGATCTAAAATGCTTCTGACCAAGGCCTAGAACCTCTAAAAATGTCTGAGAGACATTTTGAGTTCCAACAGCCTCTGATGAGGACTTCAAAAAAAGTAGCAAACATCCTTACCCACAACTCAAGACAGAAGAAATCAGAAGTGTGGAACATCTTGTTCAAGAAAATCCAGCAGACAGAGTTGACAACAGAATCACAAGTTCCTGTCTTTGACATGCAAGTCTTACTCTATCCTGCTGGATATATTACTTGAAAAACAATGGTCATAGTTTGAATTTCTTAAATTTGCAGCAATGGCAAAGGCAAAACATTTCAGGATCCTATCAAGGCTTTGAACATGCAGAGCTTTTTCATATTATTTAAATTATGATTTGGTAAATGCAGCAATTGAAATATAATGTGTTTTTCAACTAAGTTTCAGCTCACTACTCCCTTCTGGTCTCAGTAAGCCACTAATAAGTTAAAAGTTGCTCCTTGGTGCCTTCTGTTCCCATACACAAAGGGCTGCTTACTCAGAGGCAAAACCTTTACTCCACCGTGGAGTTCAGTGTACCCCTGACAGATCATCACATCTCAGTGTGGGCTCTGCCACATGCTGAGGTGAGCTACATTTGTACCTTCCTATTTACAAACACTCAAACGTGCTTTATCTGGCTACAGCTTTCCTTGTACGTCCTCACATCATAAAGAACAATGAAAGAAGTCCCAGACTTCTGCACAACAGAAAGCTCCACACAGATACAAAAAGACACAGAAATCAGTTCCCTGTGATCCTGGGATGCAGAAATAGCACAAAAATATGTGCAGCATGTTATTACCCAATACTGAGCCACCCAGAGTATGTCCTTGACATTTCACTCTACAGCAGCCAATCTGTAGATTATTCCTCTCTTAAATTTCTTGCACTTTCATTTCTTACAAAAATTTTGCTTTGACTGTACTGCATTAATTCGGTAACAGTTACTAAAGGTTTTATAAAAATCATCACCTGAAAAAAACCAGAACACACAATTACAAGAGATCAAGCCACGGATTGATGTAATTTTAAGTTTATGTCTTAGCATATCAATGCCAGCATCTAGGAAGGTTCAGGCAGCTATGAAAAAACGCATCATGCAAACCCCTGACAAAGCTGTGTCAGAACACATCCCATTCAGATTCATCCCATCAAGCAGAGATTTCCATCCCAGCTTGCTTCTGGCATTTTGAAAACGCAGTGTCAAGTGACAGTATCACAGTGGGCACACTGATGCTCCTGTTAGGCCTGGAATTCAGACCCAGCTCATCTCTAAGTGCTCGCTCTGAAGGAGAATGCATGCTAGAAACCATCCCAGCTCTGTGCTGAGAGGTATTTCCATACTTACTGGCGCTACTATTTTGCCCGTCTGTCCGATTTGCATGTCATTAGGAACAAAGCCAGCATCAACAGCTGCACGGGAAGCTCCAACTAGTTGAAAGAAAATATTTTCAATGTTTTCTTCTAAAATATTTGTGAGCCAAATTTATATCACCATAAAAGCCCATGTATTTTACTGAAGAGTCCCACACTCTAAGGGCACATATTTAAAAACTTCTCTCTTAAAAGCTCTTATGGTAATCCCTCTCTATACCACAAGCTAAAAACTTCCAAATACTAAGTGCTAATGCACTTCATAAGCAACAGGAAATCCCTACTCCCAGCACCAAAGGCCATATATTTAAACCAAGGATTTCAATCTGGCATATTTCCATGATTTTTTTCTTGTTGCTTTGTCAAAAGAATATTTTCCCATAAACGCCTTCCCAAAATGTTCCTTCAAGTTTGAATGGAACATATGTGCTATCTTGTATTGCTGTGAATCTCAAAAGTCAGGCATGGTAAAGAAAAATATCAAAGTAAACTCAAAAATGCCATATGGACATCTAGTTAGCAAAAACACCACTTTAAAAACTAAGTCAATCATGTAAAACTATTAATGTGAATGCTAAAATTAATGGAATCAAAACATTAGAGCAAACAGTTTCTTCTTCTTTTCCCTACCTTTATATAAAATACTTCACCGAAACATTGCATATGGTTTATTTTCTCCTGTTAATACAAAAGCACTGAGCCACTCAAACTACAGTGTGAGTGGGATTCTGTAAAGAAGGACTAGAAAAGGATGTATGCAGAAAGTATCAGCTCTTCAAAATGAGCTATGACCACTTTCTGTTCTGGAGATTTGAGAAGCACAGAGAGCATTATAGGTTAGTATTTTGCTTCATCCACAGGCATTTAAGTATAGTTGACAAAACTTTATCTATTACTAAACTAAGAGCATTTTAACCATTTAATAGAGACATGAAAATAAAAAACTTAATCTAAATTCTGGTTTTAATGTAACCTGTTTAAATATAATAAACAGGGTTAAAAAAAAGGAGGAAAACAAGTTTACCTGCAGCATGCAATTGATCTGCAAGGTCATACAGCAACTTAAAATTTTCACCACTCTTCAAGCCCCTTCCTTGCAAAGTAAGGACAAAAGAAGATCAAGAAAGAAGAACATGTGTTTTAAGATTTTTTTTGCTTATGTAAACTTTCTGTATGAGTATTACAAAGACTCAAAGATATGCTTGCATAAGGTATTTTAGATACATTACTAACCAGTACTTAATATTTGGAGATTTAGCTTTTGTCTTTGCCATTAACATATCATATGTGTAAACCAACACCACTCTGTCTTGTTTACTTCCTACACACAGCACCATCGAAGTCATTCTCCAAAGCCAGGAAAACAATTTTTTAATCTAATTTGTGCTCCCTCTGCTGGCTTCAGGAACAAAACACTGTTGTGGGATTAGTAAGACATAATTTTAGCTGTAGATATACAGTAAAAATCACAGTCCATCACTTGATACCTAGGGAGCAGAATACAATCAATACAGGTTTTAAAGTAATTAAGGTCATTACGTAATAATGTTTGGACTGACTGAAATGATCAGCAGTAATTTTGATACATGATAAATTTTGATACATGAAAAACATAATACATTTCCATTTAAAAAACAGTTAATATTGCTAAAATTTCAAAGAGGCTCATCAAATATAAAAATGTTCTTACAAAGCCTCCCAGCATATGCTAAACTCACGTATTACCTCTTTACAAAATACACATTAGGTGCTTCCCCGGTAGCCCCCATGGAATATTATAATTTCTTTTTTTTTTTTTTTTTAATATATTACATAACAGTGTGCTGTTACAGCCACATTTACCAAGAGGTACCATTAGTGCAATGCAGCATCAGTCAGGTTCACTGTGCTCACTCACCCCCTGACACAACCACCCTGGCACTGGTGAGCTCCGGCCGGTCGCTCTTCGTCAGCTTCTGCTCAATCCACTCGGAGATACCCACGGGTGGCGGGGGGGTCACTGCAGTCACCATAGGAGCCAAACACCCACAAGGAAATTGAGAAAGGATGTGTTTTCAAGCTGAAACCTGAGCTCAAGCTTATCTCAAAGTTCGTTCTACAACGATTCTACCTCGAGCTTTTGCTGAGTCTCAGCAGTTGCTCCTGGCACTGAGCAACAAGCCTCGTTCACTAGCTGTGCTCAGGGAACCTACAGCACAAACTGCACTACAAGGAATTCTGCTGTGCAGGTGCTACACACTGATACCAACCCAGCAGAACAAGTATGAGCCTTACTATCACAGGCAGACATGTCACTCAGGCAACACCAACAATGCAACACACTAATTCAGTCACGTTTGAATTCTGCCACCCACAGACATTAGGAAATACGGGATGGTTCAGACGCAGGGACTAAGCCACAAAACAAAAAGGCCCACAGTGAAAACCAGCAGAGGTCACCAAAATGGAACAGGTTACCCAGAGTAGTTGTAAAGTCTCCACCTGTGGACATTCTCAAAGCCTAACTGGACACAGTCCTGGGCAACCTAGTCCATGGGGCTGGACTAGATGATCTCTAGAGACCCTTTCCAACATCAATTACTTTGTCATTCTGTGACTGTATTTCTCAATTATCAGAGCTACACTGGCTTCATTGAATTGTAAATTGAACTGATATGGTTAAAACTGATCTAAAAAGACAACTCCGTATTCTCAAATCAATTTAAACTGTCACTAATTTAGCTTGATGATGTAATGACCTATCTCAATTGCAATGTGACTAAAACAAAAATATGGAGCACCAAACACTTCTAGTTTTGCTCAGTCTTGTTTTGAAAACCAATCTGGTTATTCAAACAGCTGTAAGGACAAACTTGTCCTTACTTAAAGTTTCAAAACTGCAGTGGCAGACATTTAGGCAGTGGAACAAGCATGGATTTCAGCACAGATAATCTCATTTCTGGTCAAGGACAAGGAAGTAACTGTGCAGATAATCACTATCTTCTTTTACCAGACATCACTAAAAAGTGCAAGCACCTGTATTTAACAGTATAAAGCCAACATTATGACAGTCAGTTTGCTTTGACAAATCCTTCTACAAAACACCACGCAGAGAGCAAAACTAACTCTATTAAACAAAACAACAGCATTGCAGAACAGATACTCACACTTTTCTACACTGGCATTACCACCACTCACTGGAGCAGCCTCAAATGACGTTCCCCGTACAGTAAACACTTTGATTGCTTCATCACACTGCACTGTGCAAATAATATTTCCTAAAAAAAGGGACGTTAAAATTTTAAAGATTATCAGACATACCGTGCTTTAAAAAAACCCTAAAATTAATAGCAAAACCACATTAGCAGTTGTACTAGCATATGCAACATCCACCAAGGTACTTCCCAAAATTGTAGTTTTAGATGACTAAAACTTGGCACTTAATAAATAGAGATTACAAATACTTTCATTTACGTATTAGCCCCGTGTTTCTAAAGTATGAATACAAATAATCTATTTTTAAAGGAGACAAAGCATTCAAATGATCTCTTATGAATGAGATTTTAAATTTCAGAATGGATGAAAAAAACACCTTTGAAAATGGCATTCTTACACATAAAGAATGTCTGCAATTCAAAGTAGATCTTTTATCCTGTTGCGTTAATTCATCAGAACTGAAAACAATGAGGCCTCCTCCAAGTATCTGTGGGACTGTGTTCCTCTCTATAATATAATACTTCACATTGGAGGCTGCAGGGAATGCTAAAAGAAAAAATGCTGCAACATTCATAAAAATTCAACTATTCATAAACAAAGTCATCTTGAAACTGTGAATTACTGGGAAGTAACTTAAAGTGCAGCACTAAACCACATTCCAGTACCATAACTCAAAATGTAATACCCTGCTGGGTACATGTGGTACAATCTTAAGAAACACAAGCTAATGAGCTAATATCTAAAATAAAACACAGTGTCAGCCAAGCATTAGAGAAACAAGACTGAAAAAATAATTACAAATTAAGGTAATTAAATATTAGAAATAATTCACTCAATGTCTTCATAATTAGAAAAAATAACCCTGTGGTATCTTAAATCAGAACTAATGCTAGTCTTATTAAATAAAGCTGGACAACTAACCTGATGTCTTATGCTTTCCAAAACCTGACCAGAAGGGTGCTGCATCTCTCCCTGAGCATTAACAAACACAGTCCATGGAAAGGATGGGACCAAATTATGTTCCTTAAGGTGACAGACATGGGTTTGACATGCTGCTACCAAAGCCCTTGGAATTATTTGCTTTCTCACACAGGGAGCATCATGTCCATCCCCAGGCTTCATTTTTTTATGAGTCACAGCAATTGAGATTGTAAAGAGAAAATTCCTAACATATTCCAAAGTTTTAACATTAGGATCATGTAGAAAAATTAGCACTACTGGATTCTTAATTGGACAAATATCACACAGCTTTTATGATTACCCACCTGCATAGATAGTTCTCACAAAAGTATCTGGGGACTTAATTTCAATAATGTCAGAAACAGGGGCAACATCAAGCTTGCCAGCCACTCTGGGAATAAGATTCTAGAAGTTAGAGATGAAAAGTTAGCAAACTAAGTTAAGTAAAACATACATGGTCAATAAAAGAACACTGCTGACCCAATTTTAGCTTCATATGGCTCTATATGGCTCTAAGACATCGAGAACTAAGATTTTTGAAGGGCTACTCATGTAGCTTTAGCAGCCAAATAAAACCCCATTACTGTAATAACATTAGACATTTTACGAGACTTACTGTAAGTAAACCCTTAATTCAATATCTTAAATTAGGAGACTTATTTGCTTCAAATATTCTAAAACTGAATATAGATGCCATTTACTCAGAAAATTGACAGTTATGGATTGATGAGGTCTTGGCACTTCAAGGGGAAAAAAATGGTGCTTTTGGAAGTTAGATGCCAGAAATTATAGGAAAAAAACCCTGCACTCTTCCCTCCAAAGCAAAAAAAAAAAAATAATTAAATTTAATATTAAAGTATATACTCTCTTGCTCCAAAATTTACTCCAGAAAATTACTTAACACCTTTAGAGTGGGAAGAAAGATAAAAAGAGCAGCAGAAATTATGAAGAAATCAATGATAAGATGATTATTCACTTTTTGTCTGTCTCCTAATCTGGTACAAGAAAAAAGGCCCAGGTCTGAAATCTTTACTCACATGAAGCACTGAAAAATGGCAGTGTAAGCTTTAAAGCAAAAGCCATTAACTCCTACTATGACACTGCAGTTTAAAGAAAAAGAAGAAAATAAAAAGAAAATAAAATTAAAAATCTAAGGCTTAATTTCTCATAGACAAACACAAGCATATGGATTGCTATTGATTAGAAGTGAAAGCAGTCAGATGAAAGCCGATGTCATTACTTGTCCTACATTGGGAAGATTTCTGAAGGATCCTTTTTTCTAATTTACTGCACCACAATGTTGCCCAGATTCTTAATACTGTGGCCTTCCATGCACTTATAAACACATATTTAAAAAAAAAAAAAGTTTTTTTTAAATTATATTTTCATTAAAAGCCATCCTGGCTGGAACCAAGATCTGTGTTATTTATATATGTTTACAGACATTCCAACATCCGTGACTTATATCACAGATGCAAATCCCACTCCAAAAAGTTTGCTTCCAATAGGTTTGCACACTTTCATTTCAACATGAAAATAATAGATTTTTCATTCCAACTTGCTGTGCTTTTCCTTACAATTTTCATGCTTTCAGATCACTTAATCTGTCTGCCTTATTGCACATTTTGCCTTGTGTCCATAGGATTGGCTGGTTACCATGGAATATTTCTTCTACGGTATTTTTTTTCACATCAGCTCATAAAAGAACTTAAACATGAATCATTAAATCTAACTAATGACCCCTTAAGCAAACTACTGTAAAATAGTTTGCTAATGCAGAACTATCCATGGCTTATCTCTCTCAGGCCTTTGATTCACACTTTTACATACAGCAGTGTCTGTCTCTTTTCTACAAGAACTTTCTGATGCTTTTTGATCTACTTACCTTCCCAAAGGCAGATGCTCCGGCACAAATGTGGGTGTAATTAAATTTTTTATGAGTTTCCACAATCAACGGAGTCAGCTCCTCTGAGAATAAAAATATATTGCTCAGAATTTACAACTATCTTATTTTCAATCACAAATACACAAATTTTTTTTTTTTGTCAATAGGTAAGAACAAGAACAACTCTCACCTGCTAGAAATCCCTTGTACACATCATGCTGAGCCACGAGAACTTTTGCAACACCCTGCACTTTGCTGAGTTCTGATGCTACCTGTGATCAGAAGTGAATTATTATTAGTTTGTGTTTTAACAGGCAAATAGCTTTAACACTGCAAATAGCTCACAGCCTATAGATTCAGAAAACCAGAACCAAAAGTACATGAATTTCAAAATCAGTACCAACCTGAAAGGGATGAAATGCAGGTCTTATGGCCCACAGCACAGCGCCTCATGGGACAATGAAAATGAGTTTGTGAATGAGAGCAAACGGAGCAAATCACACTGGGGAGAACTTTCCTCCTGCGTGCAGGGCTCCACACCAACCCCAGCATTTCTCACTGCAGCCAACAACAGCCACCCAAAGGATCACTGCTCAGTATTCCAATACAATCACCAAGAAACCAATCCTACTTTCTTTTAGATCAGTCAGTATCTACCATACAAACAAATACAAATGTACAATGCTGTTATGATTTTTGTCCAAATACTAGGAGCAACCCTTTGTTTGCATCTGACTTTTTGCTCACTGAAGCAATGTGAATTTTCAATTTATATTTATGCCTTTTTTTTTTTGTTTGAATTTGCACAAGTGAAGTTTGAATGATAAAAGGGTTACTACAGATCAGAGAGAAGAGGACTGACAGCGAGGTCTGGAGACCACATGCACCATCCAGAAACAGCATAGTTTTACTGAGTTTGATGAGTATCAGTTTACCCTCAAAAATTAACAAAAAGAAATAAATAAAAAACCCCTAGTAGCTGCTGCAGAATATCTGTTTGAGTCACTGGCTCTTAAATAAAAATCTCTAAACCTTTGTTTTTTATAAAATACTTTTTCCCACCATAACACACAGGCTCCATATATTTAGCATTGAAACAAACAAACAAAACATTCACAATCATTTTTCTCCTATGTGAGTCCATAAAGTAAGGAGAATTAAAGACACATGTGAGGCAATTATTTCTTTTTTTTGTTTTTCATTTTCTTGATTTAGATAAATATTTGCTTCATCTCCACCTCAAACACCTGAATAGCTACTGAGGTTTCTCCACCTATTTGTGAATAAGCTGCTCTAAGTATGCCTTCTTCATGAGATACTACTTGTTCCTTTCAAAATAACAGTGCATAAACAGTATGCAAGTATTAGGCACAGTTTTTTGTATTTCTACTGCTCACACCATACAAAGTCACACTGGAATAAAAGTGCCACTTATGTACTAAGGACATTGCCTCTAGAATTGGCACATCAAAATTACACTAAAAATACACAGCTAACATGCAAGTAACTTTTTACTACATGAGCTATGTGATAAAGTCAAGAAGCACTAATTTCAGAATTTCAGGTTGCAAACACTCTACACAACTAATGATTGGTTAGTAACAGCAACTTGCTCAAAAGCCCAATTTATCACTGTTGTTTCACTTCTGCTGGTTTCCATTTAAACAAGCAAAAGCTTCTTTCCAAATTCTTAGCACTGCAATATTTGTCATTTAAACTTTACAGAGATCTATCTTGCTTTAAAAGTTAATTGTCCTTTAGTCCTATAAAAATCTGCTTGCTCAAGCATGTAACAACCATTATTATTGATACCGTCCCCTGTGAAATGAAATCTATATCCATATTTTCTCTTTAGAAGAGAAACAGTTCCAAGTGCAGGACTTTTCTGGCAGATTAGCAACTCCTGGCACGGTTTCTCCTGACTACAGATTATCTTTCAGACTGCCCGAGATGCTGCCAAGTGTTGTTTCACTGCATTCTTTATTTCATTGGTATGAAAATAGCATTTCCTACCTTGTCACAGCTGGTACCAGCCACCAGGCAGGAAACCTCCCCTCCCAAGCACTTTGCTGCAGTGATGGTGTTGAGGGTGATGGGTGTGAGGGACTCATTGTTGTGTTCTGCCACCACCAAGGTGCTCTGGGACCTCCGCAGCACCGACGCCTGCAAAGAACAGAGACACACACGAGCAGGAAACTCAGCACTGAAATAAAAACTGTTCCTCTGGGAGTCCAAGGCTTTACAGAAATTCACTTACACAAATCATAAAACACTGCCAGCCTCATTCTAGAAAATTTTTATTAAGTAAAGAGAATACATAGGGTGATACAAAAAGGAAAAGACAAACCTGCCTGACTTCAGCTTGTGTGTAACGTGCTGTGCTTAAACTGAAACTCCACAGGAAAATACCACACAAAATTAAGAAAAACATTTTAACACATTACATTCAAGCTCAGTCAATCAACTTAACCAAGTACCTTAAAGACTGAGGATTAGACAAACAAGAGTAAGACACAATGAAATCAACAGCTGCAAATAAATATTTACTTGGTTTTCTAGGGTGGTTCTCTGGCAGTGTTTTATTATAAGTTTCAAACAAAATCTAGCTACAGAACCCACTTTTATATTTAGAGGCAAAATTTTATGCAGTGGCTGGATGAAAATTAAGCAGCAGGGGCTGACAGCCTGAAAACACACTAGGAAAAATCTTTATAGGCATCAGGTTCACTTTTCCCTCTTTTCCTTCAAAACATTTGAGCACTTAGTCTACCACCACAATTTAATGGTACTTAAATAACAATTTTGACCAATTCACCATCCATACACAAACTTGAGCTTCTAAAGCAAAAATGAAAGAAACAAAACAGAAAAAAAGGCAAAAAACTGCCATAAAACCAAACCAAAATATTCTAAATTCTGAGACCTTCCTCTCTAATATTCAGGTGTATGTGTGAAAAGCATTATTCCTCCAAGCCTAATACTAGGGTGGGGAAAACATTTTGGATGGGAACAGGAATAATGTCTCTCAAGTGTTTGTTTATCCTACATAAAGCCCAACTGAAGACTTCACTTATGATCAACGTAGGATGGAACACATGGAAAACAAAGTAAATTCATTAATATAACCAAGGAACAAATACTAACACAATGCTGAAGATGCACAAACACTACTTTTTTAAATTTACATTCCAACCCCATCTCCCCTCATGCCAAGCATGCACTTGCCCACAACCCTAAATAAAATAAGCCTCAGAAAATACGAGAGGCTAAAATTTGCACCTGGATTTCAACCCCAAAGCCTACCAACATACTGAATTTCAAACACAGAAAGAAAATCCCAAGGACTTCCCTGAAGCTAATCACAGTGCACAAATAAAAATAAAAGGATAAGTTTTTGCAGAATCTGGATCATAATTTGTCCTTTTGATTAAAACAATAAGATTCGTGTAGAAGTGCTCTGCATTTAATCTCTTATGCTTAAGGTTAAGCACAATGCTTATGCTTGCTGTGATTAAATATTCTAAGGTCCTTTGAAACAAATTGCCAGTAACAAAATATTTACTGCCACTATAGATCAGACACTGTATTTTTGATTATGTTTCATACATCATCCACAATAAAAGTAACGAAATTTTAGTCACCATTTCAAGAATAAATCCATGCCTCTGTGGCAAATAGCCCACTCTCCAATGATTTACAGTTGTGTCATAGGGTAAAGTGGACCATATTCCTGGAAAATCCTCAAGTTTTCAAATTTCCAAAGGGAAAGACATGCATTTTAAACACATTTATTTCTGCCTAGAGTATCATTTTTTTCCCTAAATAAGCACTGCACTAGCACCATCATTTTGTCAAACCATTCTAGAATAAACTGAGAAATAATTGTTTTTCAGCCAAAATGAATACGAGCAATAGAAGTTGCTTAAGCAGACTGGCTATTACAGCATTAATCAGGTATTATTCCTAAACCTATAATCCCATATTTTATATTTGTGGGAATATACACAATATGCACACCAGAAGGTCACTTCATGGATTACATTTCTGAACATAAAGACAAGACCAGATTCAAAATAAATTTAAAGTCACATTATATGACAAACAAGATTTCTACATGAGTCTGAATTTTATATACTAGGACACATTAAATAATTTTCTCAATAAACCAACCCAAACTGACTTTCGTTAGTTATAATAAAGAATCTGCAGTAAAATTAGAGAGTAATTAATCCAGTCATATGGTCCTGGAAACTAAGAATCTGCAATGAGTCAATGGTAGGACACACAGTTATTTTGATGAAGTTACTGTCCAGTTACGTGTGTGGGAGAGACTTCACTGACATCATTTCTGCTCTTGGGCAGGACGTCTGCTGAGGAAGCTTAAATAAAATAGGAAGGTAAGAGAATAAACCTAACCAGCTGGCAGCAAGGAAAGAAAACACTAGAAATAAGACACACAGATCAATCAAAGTGTTGAAAACAATGCCTTAAGAAGGAACTGCACTCAGTGTTTGTGCCACGGAAGGTTCCTGGTGAAAACCAAGCCCTAGAAAATCAGGCTACCCACAGAAATCACTTCCAGATAAACATCCCACCAACTTGAGCACCTGAGTAGCTTCTGCAGCATGACAGCAGGTAAAGACATCCCAGCAACAGGGAGGTAGAACTGGGAAGTTTATTTTCCTCAGGTTAAGGTACAAATCACAGCTAGACACCTATGTTTCCTCTACAGCAAAAACATCTGCACTTCCTCTTTGGTGGAAACTCTGGACAGTGACTCAGTTTATACCAAAACTAACATTTGTGAATGAAAACCACCAAGAATTTCCAACTCCCTCTTCCCTCCTCAGTATTTACTGAAGAGCAAACTTGGTATCTGACTTCCAGATGTCTAAAATTTCCTAAGATTAACTCAGATGTGCAATATTAATCAATTAAGCCACTTGCAAAATAGCCACAGATTCACTGCACTGATTGTCTCAAGTTTCCCCAAGCACCGTTTTGCTCCCCACTGATAAACACATCAATGTTTTCCAAACAGAGCACAAAAATTTGAAGTACAATATCTGGATTTCTAGGCTCCAGACAAAATACCAGATTGGTCACTGCTGCTGTCACAGTGGAACATCAGCAATCTGGGCACATCCAGTACACGTGCACAGGTGAAGCCAACACCACACACATCCAGCAGCACTGAACGTGCACAGGTGATCTGCTCTTCACACAAAGCCACTGCAAAGGGAGCAGCTGTTGGCCCTTCAGCACACAGCCAGGCCACCTGAACAGCACTCATGCCTAGCACCTCTTACAGATAGATTTGCTGCTTGTATGCTTAAAAACAGCCCTATCAAGAGCTGGGAAAACCCAGAGGGAAATGCCATAAATCTTTGCTTGCTGCTTGGCGAGATTGGTGTGCAGCACCCGTGGCCTCTGCTGGCAACAGTAGTGGCTGTCTACAGCCTGCTCCAAGGACACTCATTAATAGCAGCAGAATTAGGAAATCGGCTCCAACTGAAACATGTGACAGACACAACAACACAAGATGTGTTAGCCAAAAAGTTGTCCCAACAAATGCCAGAGATGCAGCAGGTGAATTCCACATAGCCCCACACTCCAAATATGCATCAATAACAAACAGGGTGCTAGAAACTTCACCTCAGAAAAGAAAGTTTGTCTTTCTTTAGAAGAGCCACTGGAAGTTACAGGGACAAAACCAAAACAGACATTCACAAGAGCACCAAACAACTGGACCCACAAAGATATCTCTAGAGATTATTTACTTAGCTGTAAAAGCAAACTGGGCAGAAGCTAAAATTTTAAAACTGCTTATTAAGAATTCTAAATCTCATGGAGAACCACTAACACAGGACAAAGTTCCCAAGAAAGAGCTCCAGAAACTAGTAATTGGGGTATTACTAAAGATAAAGACTACATTCCTAAACGACAAAGCAATGCCGAAGTAAGACACAGCCTTGTAGCTGTAAAATTTTAAACTAACTGAATAAATCTAGTAAACTCAGAGAGAGAAGGGAACTCAAGAATGTACTTCTAGAACCTCTCTAAAGACCTGGCTACAAAAGAGGTCTAAGAGACAGCTCTATAACTCCAGGAAACACTAATTAGAAAAGCAACACGAAAGGCACCTGAATTAAAAAGGAGCTATAACTGCAGCAAAGAACAACAAGAAAAAAATAAAACCACTTTGCAAAAAGGATTTGGCAATCATAATAAAGACTTAAGATTACAAGGGGATTCAAGCAGCAAGAGAAAGATGAAATACACAATAAACTTCTCCAAATACACCCCTAGCAAGCCAATAAAAATCAGCAAAGCTATTTTGAAATACAACACCGAGTGCATTTCAACACAGGGAAGTCCCTAAATCGCTTATTCCCACCTCTGCACCGAATTTTTGTGCACTTGCAGTCTCATTCCTCCTCAATATTCCCATCTTTAAATTGTACAAAAGTTCAACTTTCCTTCCTGCTCATACTTCACAGGTTTCTCTCATCTCTTTCTCTAGACTCCACTCAATCTCAAGCTCTAAGTGTCAGCAGGGCTAAACTTTGCACTTTTCAAAAACTGAAACAAAAACTGTGAGTTTGTTTCACTTCTGTCACAGACTACATTATTACACATACACTTAAGATGCACACAATGTTTTACTGGCCTTATTTTACAAAGTAACTAGTATAGATTTGTACGGCTGAAAACCACGCAGCTGAACTCACATGCCCAGGCCATGAAGCTGAATTGTGCAGTGAGCATGTGAGTAAAGCACTATTTACATAATACCAGTACCATCATCAAGACCTTTGCTCTACAAAGCCTGCAGCCTAACGACAACTGAGACACGCTCATGATTATAATAGAATTTTCTGATTAATTAAATCATATCTCACCTAGTCTACCTTTGCTCATCTTTTAAGAGATTTTTATCACCTGAAACCACTTAATATATGCATAACTACTATTTTAGAGCTGTACTGAACCGTAGTGCCTGTAAAAGCCTTGGAGAGCTCAAAAAGAGACTTGCGAGACTTAAAGTTGCTTACAAGGCCTATTTATACACAAATCTAGTGGAGGGGGTATCTCCTAGTGCATGGTAGGAGACTGAACAGATATTCGGGGACATCTCATCAATCATCTACTCCAATTAACCTTGAGTTCACCTAGACCTTGGTAAAGCAGCCACGATGACACACCAAGCAGCAAATGGCCTCCAAAAGCCCAGCACTCCACCCAGCTGAGCAATATGAAGGTCAAACTAGAGAAGCAACAGGCGTTTTGCATTAGCTTCATCCACAAGTTGTGAAAATTAAGGTAATCACATTTCTGCACAGGTGTGACTGAGAAACGGTGGACTAACCTACAGTACTGCAGAAAGCCTCTCCCTGAGCCACTAACATTCTTTCAGTATTCTTAAGAGTTTACAGTAACTTTAGAAGTCTCCTCCACCTGTTGCTCAGCTCGTCCTGCTCAAGGGTGGATGCGAGCGCTCGCCGGGAGTGCTCACTCCCAGAAGTTCAGGAACTGACACCTGCGCTAGCTTTCCACACGGGACAGCAGTCCTCAATCCCGCCTGCCGTGACCGCCGGAAAGGGCTTCTGGAGCATGCTGCGTCCGCTCGGAAACTTTATTCTTAACAGAGTGGGAGGGCTAGCCCAGAGTCCGAGCCCGGCGGCGCGGGGCGCTCGCCTCTCAGAGACCCCCTCGGCCACCGCCGCGGGCGGGAGGAGCCCGGCCCCGCGCCCCCTTCGCCCCGCGGGGCAGGGCCCGCCCGGCCGGGGCGGCGGGAAGGCCCCGCTCGGGGCTCAGCGCTCGGGGC